CGTGAGTTGTGCGCGTGTGTGCAGATCTGCTGCGGGTGTTACCGGGGGCTCAGCAGCGCGGGGGCCTCAAGGACTGTGGTGCGTTTTCCTGAGCGCCGCAGCTGTGCTTGCCAGGCCGCGTGAGTTGCACCAGGAAGCAGCAGTGATGATTTCAGATGTAGAAGTGATGATTTTAGATGCTGCAGTGATGGTTTAACTGTACCTGGGTCCAGAGCTAAGTTCAGAGCGGGCTGTTCCTGGTCGGCTGACAGCGTTACACGAGCAGCGGGGCGGCACGCTGTATTTATTGCTCCTATAAAGAGCACGAATTCATTCCCATCAAATGCTAAGTGGGATCACTTTCATATCCTTCTTAACGTTTTCTTGCTGTCAGTCCAATATGTTGCTTCCAGTTTCCTCATATTGCTGTAGCCATCTGTGAATATTGTCTAAGTAATTGTGGCCCCAGGGATAGAAAACAGCCTTGCGTTGTAGTGCTCATGCTAATGCTCCTGGACGGGGCTTCCAGCTGTGGTGGTTGTCTTCTTTTGGCACGAATCACTTGCTTTGTCTTGAATTACTAGGTTTTATAACTTTCATTTTGGTTAAAAGATTTGTTTTGCTTGTGTATGGCTCCACCTGATCGCTTTGCGCTCTTTCAGGGGAGTAGTTTTCTTTTAAACACTACCAACCCACTTCATTATTATGGAAATATTTTTGTCATACCCCTTAATACCTTGTCCAAGGTTTTTTCTATTCCCTAGAGCTTTCTTTAAAAAACAATAAAAAATGTCTAGCTGTAAATTTCACTTTCGCAAGTAAGGGAAAGCAGTCAAGTTGCATTATTCTGTCACAATAATGCAAGCACAGAGAAATAGGTGTACCATAGATTAAAGTAAATGCCTGTCGTGGAAGGAACGGTTTACAATAGGTGTTTCACATGTGAGGGAATGCCTGAATTAATAGGAGTGATTTGTGCTTGGTGTTAGCCTGGTTGAACCAGAGCACTCCTCCTCTTTTTCATTTTCTTTGTTTTTATTGAATAAGATGCTGTAAATAACTGTGGCTTGTCTGAGCAGGAGACCAGGCAAACCAGCCGCAACGGAGTGACATGCACGCACCGCGACGAGGGAGGAATTTCTCAGCTTCAGAGCAGAAAGCAGAAGAGGGTGGGAAGTTGTTGGTTTCCAGCTGAGGATCTTGCAAGGTTTTGGCATGCTGCTTTCTTTTGTGGGGAGCCTTGAGGAGGGAAGAGACGTTTAGCCCTTGGCAGCCTCTCTTATAAGGAGTATTCAGAGCGTGGTTTGGGGCCAGCTTACTTTGAAACGGCTCGTAATAAGTACAGACGTGCTCCAGACCCCACCGCAGATAACAAAGCCTGTATTGGGCCCTTTAGAGGGGAAGAACCAGGGTGCGTTTTGGCATCTTGATGTAGCTGTTGGACTGATTTGGTAATGGGTTGCAAGACGGCCAAAGCAGTTAATTTGGTATTAATTTGTGCAAATTTTTTTTTGTTCACTCTTATTGGGTAACAGCAGTACGTACTGCGTGTCCTTTAAATTCCTGCAAGGTATGTGAATTCATTTGTGTGGTTGAGTATTTTTCTCTTTCTGGAAAAGCGAGCGCCTCTCCGAAGAGCCGGTGGTACGGAGGTGCAGGTCTGTGAGCTGGCTGCTCCTCGTTTCCCTGGTGCTCTGACTGTGGCTGTTATCAAGTGCAGGCCAGGGTACTCGGCTGTACATCGCAAAGGGCTTCTCTTCTGCTGGGCAAAGCTAAAGCTCCGTTTTTCTACTTACTTTAATGAGCTGGAGAAAGGGAAAAAGTCAGCTGGCCTGTCCTCAAGGTGCTGTGCGCAGGGTGTCTTTTAAGCTTCACGGAAACAAGATCTGTGCGAGTGGCACTTGCTTCATAGAAAGCAGTCTTTATATTCAGTCTCTCATCCTGACAGCGAGGAACAACCAAGTCGCAGACGCTCTAGAACGGCGGTTTCCCCCTTGGAAGCGGCAGCGGTTAAAGCACCACAAAGCAGTAGCAGGCCCCGAGTCCCCAAGCGCGCGACTGCCGCGCGGGTTGTCCGCGACCCCGCGGTCCCGGGTCCCTCGTGCCCGGGCTGCTCCTCGGCACCGGCTGCAGCAGGTGGAGAAGCAGGGCAGCACGACTTACCCCCCACCCCCAAACGTATTTGTTCAGCAGTAGTGCCGTAATGTTAAGAACATGCGTCCTCCCGCAAGGGAGTGGGACTCTTTCTTTTCAACTGCTGGTGTTAAGCTCAAACTTTAAAGCTATTTTTTGCAGTTGAAAACTTCTTTTGACTACATTTATGCCTTCCCTCCTCTTTCACCCTCTTCCTTTCTTGCCCCGCTTCAAGAGGTGAAGCGGGACGGGCTCTCGGCGCCGTAACTGGGCGAGCGCAGCAGAGAAGCGGAGCAGCCGGCCGGGGCCGGGGGCAGGAGCGGGCCTCCGTGCACGGCCGAGCGCACGCTCGCCACCGAGCCGGCAGCTTCTGCTCATCTCTGCGTCCCAAGCAGTTGATCTGGTGAGGGGGGGATGTGCCACCCCGCGAGCCGCTCTTGGGACATGGGGAAAAAACAAATCATAACCCAACACGCACTGCCTCCAGCTACCGCGCTGGTGCAAATTGTGAGACAGGAGGGGAAAAAATAAATTTACCTTTTTTGTTCCTACTTTCACCCACAAAAGCTAAGCTTCTCATATTTTATTTTTTCTGGTGTGATTCAGAAGCTAATACAATGTCATGTGTGTGAATGATACATATTCCCGGGAACGGTGTGAAATTTGCCCCCTCGTGGCCGTATGTAACAGCTACAATGCAGGTTAGTACAAGGAAGGGTAGCAAAAACGAGGTAGAGGGAAATAAATGGCAAAAACCCATAGTTTAATTGGCTCATGCTGATACACCATGCTCCACATAGTGAAATAATGTCACTCAAAACCTGTTTTTTTTTTACAATTTTCTTTTAGTCACGGTGGCTTTTGAAATTAATAATTTCCAAAAGAAATCTGTGCTGTGCAGCAAACGCTGGACTTCATTTGTCTGGCTTTTAAGCAGTCTGAAGCATTATCTGCTCCAGGAGTCTCCTGCTCTTTCCAGGATGTTTTATATATACAGTAGCTGCTTCCTCTTATAGCAGTGCTGTCACTCGCGAATGAGCAGTACATGCTGAAAAGCTTTTGTCTGCAGTGAGATTGGCAGCGACTAAGAGAATCCAGATGATCTCCCAAAGGGGAGGCTGTGCAGCTGGGCCTTTCTTTGTTAACGTGGTTTGCGCTTACTATTTAAAAACTTTCTGTAGTCTGTCCATCATACGCACCTGCGAGTATTGTGGTCTTCCTGATACGATACCAATTTGAATGGGACAATGCAGAATAATGAAGATATGTTATGACTAAACCAGCATAACTTAGAGTCCAGCTGGCAAGCGGAGGAGTTTATCCCCTCTAAGCCTGCAAGAGAAGGGCTGTGATCGCTGACGTCATTTACCTTGGGAAACGTGCAGATGCCCAAAGCAGAGATCCCTCTCGCCTCTCCTTCCGCCTTCGGATGAGTTCTTTTTTCTTTTTTTTCCTAATGTAGCTGATGACATAATATTTGTATTTCACTGAGGTTTTTCAGTCTTCTTTCACTCTTGGTATTGTTTGGGCAGTTGTCAGATACTATCTACAGCTGTACAGTGATGGCTCTGTCGCGTGAGAACATACTGGTAAAAGGCTACGTTAGGGGAATGGCGGAGGGGAGACACTTTCTCAGCTGGGCGTAATGTGCTGCCTGGTCCCATCATTTATTGATTGGAGAAAAAAGGTACGGAGCGTTTCAAGGCACGCTTTGACAAATTTTTTTTTCTGGGTTGATAGCTTGTTTCTTCATTAATATATTTACAGTGAATTTATTAAGCCAAAAACTGTTTTATAGGCACAAATAAAAGTAGAGAAGAGTGTTTTGTTTCTTGGAGAAAAGTTAGATTTCTTTCTGTTTATTCTGTGGTTTAGGCAAAGTGAGAATCACAGTGATCTAAGTATCTGGGGATATTAAAACTCAAAATCAGTCTCAGGAGCCCAGTAATCTGATAGACTGGAACTTACTCCGCTAAACTAAAGTTGTCTAATTTCGACAGATGTGATGGATTAAAGAGCAAGCGTTGTTGACCTGGTTCCGCTTCGTTAGGTTTTCCGGTTAAACATGATGTTGTAGAAAGTGCGACCCTGCAGTAACACCTTGGACCAGCAGAGCTCAGGTTTTAAGTGGCCCTTATGCTTTTAAAAGGTGTTTCTTTAAATATTTTATTTGAGAGCTAATTCCAGAACACTAATGATGAATTCTCCTACAGGGATGTTATCTCTTTCTAACCTCTTAATTAACTGACTAAATAAACAATTTTTGTGCTTTTGTATTTAGTAGCTCTTTAATGAGGTTTAAGTCCTCTGGCCAAGTCAAGTCAAGGGTTCAGATGTCTACACAAAAGAAGAGAAAATGCATGGTGCACTTGAGTGTAATGTACAGAGCTGGAGTCATCATTTCACCAGGATGAAATTTTAATGGAGAACAAAGCAGCAGTAGTGTAATTGCAGCCATTTGGAGGAAAGGTTTTGCCAAGGATCTGACCAACTTTACCGTTACCAAATACTGATCAACTTTCTAAAAAACGTTATAAAGCCTCAAGGTTGAGGGGCACTGGTCAATTGTAATCTAATGAAAAATGGTAACAAAGGATTATATCAAAGATGCAAGGGTCTGCCTGTGGCCTTGAGTTGTTCTGTAGCTAATGTGTCTCTAATATTCTCCAATTACTGCAATTTGATTCACTCATCCAAATGTTGTAGAGATCCTGCAGTTTGGTGAAATGTCTGAAAAAGAAGGATCTCTGTCCAAGAAAAATCCTCTGAAATCCCTGTTCAAGAGTATGTTTGTTCCTAACATGACCACTTAGGACCAATAATAGCTGAAACCACCTCCTTTTCCACTATTCCAGAGTAATGGCTCTTTCTGTCTGCTCTTTTTGTAGATTCAACCTCCTAGTCCCTACACCGGCTTGGAGACTCAGGTTAGTACCATTTCCCCCACTTCTTACTCACAAGGGATTCTCTGAAAGATAGGACTAGTCTGTGCACTGTCTCCCACCGATAGAATATTTAGAATATTTAACCTTTTGGCTGGCCCTGGAGAAGGTGGAACTATGATGGTGGGAGCTGTAGTTCCCAGCATGAACGACTTGGCAGTAAAAGAATTGAACTCTTGGCAGAAAGAAGGAAGGGCAGATTTTGAGGCAGGCAGGACCTGGCGTGCAGTTGGGCAGGAGCAGAAGTAACTTATATTTGTCAGAACAAAGGATACAGTTGTCAAGGCAGTGCAAGCATCTATTCATGGACTTCTCATTTCTGTTCATAGACTCAATTTCCTAGTGTGTGTTAGGATCTCAGCTGCTAGTGTGTTACTCTAAAATACTGTTGTGCTGCAGATTTCCTCTTTAGAGATGACAATGATCTGCAGTGAATCTGCGGCGATGCCTGGCACTAGAAGGTCAAAGTGATGGAAGGGATTTTACATAGTCACTAAAGCTTTGATTTGTGTTTCCTAACAAGGCAGCGTCATTGATTTCCATTCTCGCTGATCTTGGGGAGACAGCTAAGGCAATGGTACTAGCATACTGAAGATGAGTGTTTATTCAGAACGTAGATTCCCAGAGTCCCTGAGTGATGCCATAACAATTTTTACCTTTGTTTTCTGCTGGCCTGTCCCTGGGGAGAGCTTTTCACTGATTTGTATTTGTTTCAACAAACCTACTACATCTTTTTTATGGACTTCTCTTTGGAGCCAAGCCCTTGAGTTGTAACTGGCAAGGAAGGCTCACACAGATGGTTATACGCAGAGTCATTATAAGGTAGTATCACAATACACGTAGGTAATAAAGTACAAGTTTGTGTATGATGCAGAACTGGAAATATACAGTAATAATCAAGGCTGTTGTATTACTGAGTTGAAATAGTGCAGGAATAAGATCCTGTGTCAGTGAAGGTATTGGGCAGTGCGTATGTGTGTGTATGAGCAAGGGAGAATTCCACACTGGAGGCAGGGGGAGAAATAAAAGAGAATACATATGAAGTAGTACATATAAAAGAGTACAGAAGAGAGTGCATATAAAAGGGTACCGCTGTCAGCCCCAGCAAAGTACTAGCTGAGTTCATCTGTTTACCCACAGAATGCAATTTCTTCATCCTGCCCTGCCAAATTGCATCTTTGGGCCTGTTATCTCCTTGCTAAGACTGTCAGCAGGGCAGCCCCAGTTGACTCAAAAAATCACTGTGGTGTCAATGGGCTTTAATATTTGGGGGGGAGGGAGAGAGCCATAAACACTGTTTAATGAATAATTGAGGCAGAAGGCACTGATATTTCTGTCAGTGTCGCCAAAGCCATTTCCACTTCTGAATCCGTTTTACGTAGAAAGCTGCTGCTTCTTAACTTGAAATATGCGATGAGGACCAGTAGCAACTTGTTACAGCTAATATTTTTATAGCCCAAAGCATCCTGAACTGCTAAGAGTCGGTTCAGATATAAGACTTGAGATCATGTGGGCAACCAAAGGAGAGAGGATGAAGAGACTGTATCTCACACCAATATCTGAACAGCTAAAGGTCAAAGTATTATTTTGATTTCCTGTAGCACTGCCATGCTTGTCCTGAGATCAGGCCCCTTCAGAGGGGTCCAGGTCCAAACCCGTGGCAGGCAGACATGCACACATGTGTTTGTGCAGTAACCTGTTAGGTGTTCACAGCTTGGAGATCAGCAGTATCTCTTGATATGTAAACTTAATGGCAATAACAAAAAACAAAATTACCATCTTTCTTTCCTGAATATAAAATTCCAATTTTTCCTTTGTTTGTAAAAAATCAAAATATGAACCAATTTTATTCTGCAGTTTCCAGGAAACTGTCTCATCTGACTGGTTTACAGTAGTATGAAAGCAGTTGCTGACACAGTGAGGCACAAGTAAGTGTGGGTAGCCCAGCTGGAGGTCAAAACATTGCTTTACTTTCCAGCAATATATTTCTCTTTAAATTTAGGTGAGGTGGTCAAAAACATTCGGATTAACAACGGAAGAAGTTGTTTGATAACTTGGGAGTCTAGATATAAATTTAAGATTGGGCCACATTCTTAGGTGCAAACGTCTTGGTTTTCTTTGCTGTGAGAAGCATCGTGTGAAAAATACCATCAGCAGCTTTAAAACAGGATGTTTGTTAATATGGTTAGTAAAGAATCTCAGAAGTTGCAAAAATTTGCCCATGTGTTTTATTTTCTTCCTTTGGGGGACAGATGGGAGAGGAGAGTAGCGCTACACGCATGTAAGAAGTGCTGAGAAGACTGGTGAGCGATGTCTCTGCTTGGGTGGTTTCCTGTGTTGTGTTGGGATGAATCAGCTCATTTGAGATTTTCTCTGCTGCCCTTTGGTTTCGTGTTCCGCTCTAGCTGGACTGGTTTTTTGAAGGCTAACATTTGGAAGCTGTGCAGCATGAGCAGGGACAGTCTGCTAGTGTTCTAATCACCTGTAGAACTGTTGAAAATTTCCGAGATACGGCTGCAAGTGCTTATCTGAAAGAGAAAGTGGGTACTCTCCCAACCAGCTCTGCTTCAGCAGATCTCTTTGAATTCCCCCAGTAAAGATCTACTTTGGGATGTGTGTTTAAGTTGACAGTTTTTGTGTAAGTGCACAGAAGGGAAAACATGTACTTGAGACCTGAGCAAGAGTTTTCTATTATCGTTCTTCCAAGAAACAGACAGTTTCCGCAAACTTGAAATTATTTTTTTCACAATTTTCCTCACTTATCTCTTTTGGAGCCATATCAAAATATTTTGTTCAAAATGGACCTACCAAATCACAATGTTCCTGTTAATCACACTACAGTATATTGGGATCAGTTTGATTCACGTATACCTTCCTATGCTGGAACAACATGTCAAAAGGTGATAGAATCCAGGTAGCTCCTGTTCTCCTTGTTCTTCTTTGCAAGTGGGATTACCTAGCTCACAAATTAATATTCCTTTTAGCTCCACTTTTTTCTTATGTTAAACGGTGCATAACAAGTGTGAATTGTGTAGTGTATTGATTTGGTGCAGAGGATTAAAAAGTTATTAATCAGCTCTGCTCAAGGGAGTAGGAGGTGGCAGATTTATTTGCACTGCCTTGCAAAATGATACTCACCTAGGGTGAGATCCAGAAACTTGATCTTTACTGTATTGGAAAAATACTTTGAAAACAAACCTCTCATTTCCTATCTCCAAATCCCACTGTGAACTAGTGACCAAAACAGAAAGGCTGAACATCCTTGCGGTATTTGGTAAGGTCGCTTTGGCAGAATTCTTTTGGAAAGTTGAGGCATATTTACTTTTCCTCTAACGTGAAGGCAATCTGAATGTGTCTGAGAGAATGAAGAAAAAGAAAAGAGGATGAGAGCTATTTTCAGCTTCTGAGACAGTTGTACTTTACATCTGAGACAGGTGTGACTCCATTTGTGACTACGTTTCTCATGCTTTCAGAAGTTATCTCCATCAGAGAGAGCCTAGCTGTTTACATTTTGCGCTTCCCATCTTTCGTTGCTCAGAAACACGAGAAGCCGAATGTAACGATTACAATAAGAGTTAGCCCAGAGATAAATTTTGGCCCAATTGTTCATCCTCTCGGAGGAAGGGAGGTTGTTATCTTCCTTGGATTAGAGACATCATTATCAGCCTCTTTCCAAAGCTGTAATGTTGTGGCTATTGAGAGGGCTCTTGGAGAGGGATTGATGAGATGCTGGACAGCCTCTAGGGCTCCGTGCTGAGGACTGTGGAGTATTGCGGCTGGGGCAGCAGGACGCAACTCGCAGGATGAGGGGCCGAGGAGCCAGTGCTTGAACTCAGCTGCCAGACAGAGGGCCAGACTCCAGTCTGGCCCTCTGCCTTCAGCCACAGGAGACCAGTGCTCCCATGCGTTCTCCTTTCGCCTCTGCAAGACCTTTTTAGTGCTAGAAATATTGCAGGGCTTTAAAATTGTTTCCTTGGAAATATATTAAACGTTGTGTGTGGGGGGGGGGGGGGGATAATTACAAGCCCGAAACTGAATGTCTGACCAGGTCGCCTCTTCGTGTTGGTAGAGCAGGTCCAGCTCCACGTGTGTACTTGGCGCAGAGCCTGCCCTGCAGTGGGGCGTGCCGAGGAACTGAGGAATAGTTATGTCAGGGAGGTATTTCACTTTTTTAGTTACAAGTGAAGTCAAAGGAAGCGGCTTGACTTGTCCTGCCAGGGTGGTTATCCCCGCTGCAATGCTTGCCCTGACAGCAGGGCCCTTCAGAGGGGTCGGGGACGGAACCTCTGGTGGGCAGACCTGCACCAGTTCGTTTTCCACAGCTTGGAGGTCAGCCGTACCCCTTCCTGTGCAAACTTAATGGCAATAATAAAACAAAAATTACCGTCTTTCTTCCCAGGGTGCAAGATTCTGGTTTTTTCTTTGTTTGTAAGAAGTGCAAATATGAACCAATTTTACTCTGCAGTTTCCAGAAAACAGTCTCATCCGACTGGTTAGCAGTAGCGTGAGAGTAGTTAGCGACTTGTATCCTTATGGAGAGGAAGTGGTGTGTGTTGTTCCCACGTGTTACCAAAATGTGAAATTCTGAGATACCTGAAATAATGTGCACGCTTGGAATCCAAACGTGAGAATTGCATGTAACAAAGATGTCACGCAAGCATGATTTCAGCTGGAAAGTTATCTGAACTGGAGGAAGTCACCTCAAAGGGGTCAGGAGTGCAAAAAAGGCTTGTCAGCAAAGAACCAGTGTGAAAGATGCCTCGAAGGTCGGGTCAGGGCCTCGATGCTCCCTCAGTGAAGCTCGAGTGCTCGCGTGCTTTGAAGTAAGTGCTGGTGTTTGAATGTGTGCAGCAGTATGCTTGCCATCGTATGGCAACAGCAGATTCCTTTTTTTATATATACATACATACATACATTTACGTGTATACACAACTTCATGTTTGCATGACATGTTTATGTATGTACATACGTGTGTGTGTGTGTGT